CTAATCGAGTCCGTAATCTGGTTCTAACTGATATCCTCGTTTTTTACAGTCTATGGGTAAGAGTCTTGATGATTTCGATCTTCCAATGGTTGATGCAAATTCAAATTTTCAATCTGGAGAATTTCGTGAGGTACAAGAGGAATGCTCTATAGTTGTGGAAGATGAACACTTGCGTGCCCGAGACTCACTGAATTCCGACCAGAAATACGCATATGATGAGATAATGAGGCACGTAGACGAGGATTGTCCAGGAGTGTTCTTTATAGATGGTCCAGGTGGAACCGGGAAGACTTTTTTGTACAAAGTTTTGCTTGCCAACATCCGTTCACGTGGTCTTATTGCTCTCGCAACCGCTTCGTCGGGTGTTGCTGCCAATAATATGCCTGGAGGGAGAACAGCTAAGTCTAGATTCAAAATTCCTCTGAACCTTGATAATAACTCAATGTGCAACATACGAAAACAAAGCGGGGCTGCTAAATTGATTCGAGATGCAAAAATAATCATCTGGGACGAAGCGTCGATGGCAAAGAGGCAAGCAGTGGAGGCGTTCGATCGAACAATGCGAGACATCATAGGGGTGGCACTCCCATTCGGTGGAAAGATAATGGTTTTGGGGGTGATTTTAGACAAGTCTTACCGGTCGTGAGGCGTGGAACCCGAGCACAGATTGTAGATTCTAGCTTGCGRATGTCACCTCTTTGGGCAACGATTAAAAAAATACCTCTAACGCTCAATATGAGAGCACGCACTGATCCATGGTTTTCGGAATTTTTATTAAGAGTCGGTGATGGAGATGAAGAAGCGGTGGACGAAAGCTTTATTCGCATACCGGATGACATGACCATTCCCTATGCTGATAAAGGTAAGTCAAAAGATGTGCTGATTGACGCAATCTTTCCATCTCTGCAAATCAACAGAGCTGATTCAGATTATATCATTTCGAGGGCAATATTGTCAACTAAAAAGAGAATGTCGACGAGATTAATGATCAGTTGATCGACAAGTTTTCTGGAGATGAAAAAATATACTACAGCTTCGACAAAGCAGAAGATGATAAGAACAACATCTATCCGATGGAGTTCTTAAATTCTTTAACTGTTAGTGGTTTGCCTCCTTATTACCTTCGTCTCAAGATTGGATGCCCAATAATACTGTTACGAAATATCGATCCCTCGAATGGATTGTGTAATGGCATTAGATTGATATGCAGAGGCTTTCAACAGAACGTCATCGATGCAGAAATAGCTGTTGGTCAGCATGCTGGAAAGAGAGTATTTCTTCCGAGAATTCCCTTATGTCCGTCCGAAGACAACATGTTCCCGTTTAAGCTGAAGAGAAAACAATTTGCAATTTGGCTTAGCTTTTCTATGACAATCAATAAAGCTCAAGGGCAAACAATTTCGAATGTAGGTGTTTATCTACCGGAATCAGTTTTCTCACATAGGCAACTTTACGTGGCGTTGTCCAGAGGGATATCACGGGGGAATACGAAGGTGTTAGTGAAGCCTGTTAA